GGCTGGGGCGCGGCGGCGACCGGCCGGCCCGCTGGCCCTGGCGATCTTTAAATGCTCCCGCACTTGGGCGGCTGGTGCACTTACCTGCCAGCCTGCAGCGAGGGCGCCCGCGCTCTGCACCCTCCAGGACTCCAGTCTCTTGCTTTAGGCGGGAAATGCTGTTGCTTGATTGCAACCCGGAGGTGAGAATCGGGCCCCTTTTGTCCTGCGGGCTTAACCTTCCCGATGCCTGCTTTCCTGGGAGCGCTGGCGAGGGTGGCGGTTGACCGACCCCTGGGCACGGCGTCCGCAGAGGTGGAAGCCTTTCAGCCGCAGGACGGGGTGGGACTGGACGAAGGCGGGAGGGACGCTGGAGCTGCCCTCTCCCTGCAGGCGGACAGTCTGCAGCATCTGCTGGAGGCCGGCGCCTCGGTCAACGCACCCCCGGACCCCTGCGGGCAGGCGCCGGTGCCCCTGGCCGCAGGTGGCGGCCGTGCTTGCCTCCTGCTCTGGCAGCGGCAGATGGGCGCGGACCTCAACCAGCAGGTAACCAGGGGACTGGCGGTTACCGCGTGCAACCCTCCCCCACCCCAGTCCGCGCACACCTTTCGGAGACGCCGGAATACTCAGTTCAGTTGTTAGAAACGTGTCTATAGCAGCGATGTCCAGCAGAAAGATGCGAGCCACGTACGCAGTTAACATTTTTGTTTGAGCCACATCAATGAAGTAAAACGAAGCGTGAGATTAATTTTATAATTTAAAACCAATTTATCCACAATATTATCATCTCAGTGTGTAATCAGTGTAAAACATTACTGATAGGTATTTTACATTTTCGTATGTTTTCTTAGTCTGGTGTGTATTTTATATTTACAGCACGTTTCAGTTGAGACCAGCTACATTTCAAGTGCTTGTTGGCCAAGTATATGCCTACTGGCTACAGTTTCAGAAGGAGCAATTACTACGTTATCAAATTAAAAGTCTCAGTATAGCAGCTGTAATATTGCGAGGCATGCTCACGACTATTATAGTTTCCTACAGAATTTTTTTACGGGAGTCTGCATCTTCCATTGAATATTAAAGTATGCTGAATTTTAAATTTACTTCTGTAGAACTCTATTTTGCTTTTAGGCACTTAAATTTTAATGTATGTGGCTGTGGCTGTACAGGTTTTTAGTAATGAAAGCTTTGTATTTAGTAACATACCAAGTGAACCTTATAAGAAAAAAAAACTTGAATTTAAATATTCAGCCCAGTACAATGTAGGTCCAGCTAGCTTCCTCAAACAATAATTAGACTTCCCCCACCAACTTCCACAAGAAAGTGTTTTGGAGAGAGACTAAAACGTATTGTGTTGTATTTAAGGATGCTTTTGGAGAAGCTCCACTCCACAAGGCAGCAAAAGTTGGAAGCCTGGAGTGCCTTAGCCTGCTCGTAGCCAGTGACGCCCAAACTGAGTAAGTGTCCAGCTCGGTGGCTTTAAATTGGACTAAAGGAATCAGACTTCCCACGCTTAATTACATGTGCTTTTAAAAGGGATGCTTGCCCAATCGATAACTTAGTGTCATCATTTAAGTGTTAACTCAGGCTGTTAATATGATACTATTCAAGTTGAAGTAAGAAGTCGCCCTTGAGTAACCCATTGTGGCAGTATCACACCTTAGCTTTGGTTTAGGAAAACCCCTTTATACAGGTTCTTGTTGAATTTCTTGGGTACTTACTCATTGTATTGAACACAGAATGCTCTTTCATTCACTCAGAACTGAAATGCCCACTCTGCTAGCCACTGAGGATTCCAGTGAGCAAAGATGGGATTTCTGCGCTTCCTTTACCTCTTCTATTCTGCAGCCAACATTTGTATGAGTCCACAGCTCCTTTGCTACAAAACTATATGTTAAAAGAGGCTAAACAATTGCCAACTTTTTAAAACTCGACTTTCATTTTAAATTCAGTTTATGTAATAAGAATGGGCAAACAGCCGAAGATCTTGCTTGGTCATATGGATTTCCAGAATGTGCCAAGTTTCTTACAGCAATTAAGCGTATGCAAACAAAAAAACCAAGTGAACGATCCGATAGAGATCACTGTGTTCCAGTGACCAGACAGAAACGAAGTTTCGGAAGTGCAGAAAATACAAGCGGGAAAAGGAAGTGTTGGTAAGTCACTCATAGTTTCTTCTTTCTTCCTCCTTCAAGGGTCTCTTATTTGGCACAGAGTTTATTGTTTCACTTAAATATTGGCAGTCTTATTTCTAGTACGTCTTTTTCATTCTTATTAACACATTTTGAGACTGGTTATAGAAACTACTAGTAATTTCTAGAAACCAAAGACTGTCCTCCATGGTGGAAGGTTGGGAAACCACCTTTTAAAAAGGTCCTTAATGTTAATATGTTTAACAACAGATGTCTTGTTGGCCATGAAGAGGTGTAAAGAGGCCTTCCCTTCGTGCAGATCTGCTCAGCTACAAGCCGTGGTCCGCCTCGCCAGGTGTGTGTAAACTCCTTCTGAGAAGGAGGAGCGCTTTCTTCTAAGTGAAGATAACATTTACGAATACATGTATTTACATGCCTACAATATTTTGGTTGTACATGCTTTGTCTTGTGACTTATTAAAGGAATGTCTAAAGAATAAATTCTTTTTTTGTGTAGTATTTACCACCTTTGGAAAGAATCAAGGTTAAACTATTAAAGTGCACCCAGGATTTAACTTAGAATTAAACTTATTTTTTATTAACAAATTTATAATAAGCTTTACTACAGGCTTTGAGTCCACGATATTTTAAATAACGTTTGGCCGCTGAGGAAGACATAAGTTATAGTACGCGTCCTTGTTCCAGAAGTCTGGGCCCTTCCATCCACACCAGCCCTAGATTTGGGAAAAGGGAAAGGAAAGCATTTTACAAAGTTACAGGACTACGGGATCAAAGTTGTAACATTTATCTTGGAATAAGACTCTTTAAGTACATATATAAGTCAAAGATTCTAATTTGTATAAAGCATAGAGAAGTAATTTATTTGGGTCCATTTCAGATAGAATTAAAAAAATGTTAATCCTACTGTATTTAATCAGAAATCATTAAAAAAAGAAAAGCTTCCTTATGGTAACTGTTAACTCCAAATTCCACATTTTATTGATTCTGAGATGTGTGGTTTTGCCATTCTGGCAGTCAGTGGCATGGGACAGTTTAATTGGCAGTCTGTTCTTAGCAGTCCATAAAAGACTGTGATATGTACCATGCAGACATCTCAGCTATGAGGAAATGTGGTCATGAGACATCTGAGCTTGCCCCTTGAGGGGCCTTTCCATGCCCTTCATTTTTCTCCAGCTGTAATCATTCCGCTTTCCATTCACATTGGTATTAATCCATTCCTCCAGCAGAGAAAATTACTTTCAAACAAAATCTCATTGTGAACATAAAAGTTAATCAAATTTCTTCTAGGGCCATTGATTTATTTTCTTAAAGACCCTGCTAACAACTGGGCTGGTTGTATGATTCTAAAATGAAATGCTCTGTTTGCTAAATACTTGTGAGGAGGCTAGTGAGGACCCCGAAAGTACCCCTGAGGGGCGATGAGCCCCGGTGTTACTCCTCACTCAGGGTACTGTCAGGGACCTGCAGTCAAATTCAAACTTCCTACAGAAGAGGGTGTTAGCTCTATTGTTTAGTGTGGAGGCCGGCAGGTTGAGGAGAGATGCTCTTTATTTTTCTTTTTCTGATGGCAAAAATAATAAATATTCAAATGAGATGAAAATAAAAAATTAAAAAACCCCTGCCCCAGTCAGTCCTACTGCTTCTGCTCCTAGCTGTTAAATTTGGTTTGTGTTTGAGACCTGTTTCTATACATAAATAAGCCTTATCTACTAGTTTCAACAAAACTTTCTTTAATAACTTTAATGTCATAAAATCTGTTTTCCTAATGATAAATAGAAAAAAAACAGGTTTATACTATCTCTGTTTAATTTTTTTTTTTTTTTTAATGTATCTTTATTGATTTCAGAGAGAGGAAGGGAGAGGGAGAGAGGGAGACAGAAACATCAATGATGAGAGAGTCATTGATCGAGCCCACAACCTGGGCATGTGCCCTGACCGGGAATCGAAACCCGACTGCCTGGATCCTAGGTCGATGCTCAACCACTGAGCCACACCCGGCCGGGCATATACTATCTCTGTTTAATCTTTTTGTGATCCATTTACACATGTGGACGTTCTCCAGGTATCCAGACTCAATTTTTTTTTTTTTTTAAAGGGAAGTGGGAAGAGAGGGTGCCCAAACCAGAAACTGACCGGAGTGGACAGGGTGCCACGCTTCTTTCCTTTGAGGTGACTGGCCCGGGAATATCAAGCAGGAAAGCTCCACAAGAGAGAGGCAGACCTTCCCTGTGGCCCCGGTATAGACTGAATATTTGTGACTCTTCAAAGTTCATAGGTTGAAACCTAACCTCTAATGTGATGGTATCTGGAGGGTGGGGCCTTTGGAAGGTGACTAGATAAGAGGGGTGGAGCCCTCATGAGGAGGGCTGCCCCCAGTTTATTATCTGACCTTCTGTTAACAGCCAGTTTACTATCCTTTGGTTCTAGTTTCTTTGTCTTCTCTCTAAATTTGTGTTCAACAGATACTTACCTTTTCCAAAATAACCTGCAGATCTTCAGCGCCTGTATAATGTGGATCTAAAATCAGAAATTTTATCTGCCCTGTAATCTCATTCCATGCAACTCCCAGTATTGTGTGGGCCAAAACTCCTCCCCCTAGAGAAGAGGAAATATGAAATATGAGAGGGCATACGTTAATCTCAACTTCCTATTCAATTTCAATTTTAAAAAGATCACTTTGCCTATTAATTGATCTAACAGCATTAAAATTTACTAGTCTACATTGTAAAAGATCAGTCAAATATACTCTGAAAAGATCAAATTAAATCTTTAAGACAGAAAAGATATAATCATATCTATAATCATCAGGGTTATATTCCACTCCCATATCAATGGAATTGCCTAAACTGGATTTAGAAGGGGCCATAGAGGGTCCAAACTCTTCCCACCAGAGAAAGTCACTGCTGTGGTCCAATCCCAGCAGATGGCATGCTGCCTCTGCTCTGCGGATGGCCAAAGAGGCAGCCATCCACTCCCGCAGTTCTTTCTGAAATTCAGCTGAAATCTGCCTTCCTCCGTTTCCTACACACCCATTTTACCTTTCCTCTGCCATCACACGATAAATTTCGTTCCTCGTAGAATATGAATCTTTAGATCAGCGAATCCAATCCTCTTATTTTACACGTAAAGCCCAGAGAGATTAAGCAATTTGCAATCAGGTAACACTGCTGGCCAAGTTAGTGACACAGCCATGACATGATGCAAGTTAGTGACTGTGGCCTCTTTTCCATACCACTTTCAACTCTTTATATGAACACAGTTATCATTTACCTTCTCTTCTGGTTATTAAAATCTTTTTTATAACTTCTGCCTTGCACATTTTAAAATAAATATGAGAGGTCAGTCTGTATGGTGTAAAAGCTAATTTTAAAATGGTTTAAAATGACTGATTTTACGTGACATTCAACATTTATACTAATGGTAAGCTTTATATTTTTTCCACACTAAGGAGCCCAGGATGTCCAAAACCCCATACCGATCATCACTGGAGTCCCTTCACTCTGGAAGTGATTGGCCAGTGCCCGTCCCTGCGAGGCCATTTCTGAGCCCTGGCTGGAGAGAAATCATTTTCCATTAGATGAATCATTTCTAATACTAAGTTCACATAAATGAGCTTAGGAGCCAATGTTTTCTACATTTTTGTTTTCTCTTTTGGTTAAAAAGCCCCTCAATATGAATTTAAATGCAAATAAGTGGTAGGAAATTGATTGAGAGCAAGTGAAAGCACTATAACCTTTCTAAACATTTAAGGCCACTAAGTATGCTAGGAAAGAAGCAATGCCACCTGGATTCACTTCTGGAACTGCACAAAGAGGGTCTGGATTTTTAACAAGGGATTGAAAGTGGTCACCTTGATACCCAGGGGGCTCCTATGCGTGGATTAAGTTTTAGAAGAATCAGCTTTAAGTCCTGGGTCTTGTCTTCTTGCTGTCAGACTCTGAGTCTGTATGTCCTCACCTTTAAATGGGACCAATAATACCTGCCCTGTCTACATGGCAGGGGAGTGCAGGGCTAAAACAGGCAATGTCTGCGCAGACAATGTGAAAAGTACAAAATGTCTGTAAGTACATTGTTTTTATTTAATTTTTTTTTTTTTTTTTTTTTTTTTTTTTTTTG